TCCCTTCTGGCTGCTCTCGGGGCCTGATGGTGACAACGGCACACTGCTACTGTGTGCCCCCTCACCTCCCCTTCCTACTTCCCTCCTCCCTGCTGCCTCCCCCTCACTGCTGGCTTTTGACGGGGCCTGGTGGCTGTGATGCCGGAGCCAGGGGGTGAGGCCACGGCTGTGCTGCCAGCACCCTGTGCTGCTGCCTCCAGAGCACTGGTGGCCTTACCCCCCCACCCCGAGCTCTGTCCCTGCCATCTTGACAGTGGGGTGGTAGCCCCATGACAAAAGGGATTGGGGGGCGGGGGGGGCGGGGCTCGAGTCCCTCACTGGCCTCACCCACCTGCTCAAGCCCCTGTGCATCCAGCCATTCCCCTCCCCTCCGTCTCCCTCTGCCTCCAAGGAGCAGGGCTGGGGGGCAAGGCCAGTGCTGCTGGCCTGGTGCCCTGCCCGCCCCCCCCTGGTTCTGACTGTCATAGTGGTGCATCTGTCTGTGCAGAGCACTCCCATTGGTTGTTTCAGTAAGCATTGTGATTGGCTGCCAAGACAGCCAGTCAGAGTGCAAATAAAGCGTTATGGACAGACAGGGTTTTATAATATTAGAATGGGGCTGTTTGTTCACACAACGTGGCTGTAAAGGATAGGTAAGCTTAAATGGAGGGTATGGTAAGAGAGTGATGAAGGTATCTTTCTGTACGTTGAAAGGCATGAATTGAAGCGCCTCCAGATTTGTGCCAAATGGTTGCCCCTAGTCAAACTAGCTGTAAATGGGAGCCACAATATTCAGGCTTGGCAGCCAGACTGTTGGACTTAGTGGGCATTTTTATGTGTGGTTCCGATGCAACACATGGCAGTTTTAATTAGCAAGCCATGCTAATTATAAGTGCTTGGTGCTGCATCAGATGCAGGTGTATAAGTGGCACAGCACACATCACTGCTGAGAAAATGGCGGGCAGTGGGCTTTGAACTAAAGCACATCAAATGAGTTTTAGTTTGAAGCTCACTGCCTGGCATTTTCTCAATGCTGATGCTTGCTGTGCCACTTACACCTGGATCCAACACAGCACCGGGCCTGTCAATTTATGTGCTCCCGCACAGACTCAATTAATCGAGACTGCTCCAATGC